ATAAATATTGCCATTAGGTAACCCTCATCACCAGCTGGGATCTCAGGAAGACCTGGGCAACTTTCCAATCTGTCTGGGACCCTGGTGCCCTACTTAGCACTCAAAGGTGGCAGACTCCTCCACCCCCAATTTAGGGCCCCTAGCAGGGATTAGTGAGGTCCCCCTCTTCCTGTCCCTCTTTACCACCACCTGACAAGGGCAGATCCCCATTGCCCTCTCCTCCTGGAGTCTCCTGTCTGTCCTCTACTGTTTGTCAACTCCTAAACTTCTTTTTCCACTCAGATGCAGGAGACTGCTGGCTCTGTCAGCAGTCCAAGCCCCTGTATTACATGGGCATAGCAGCTCAACTCCTCCCGAATTACTCTGATCTAGCCACAGGCAACTGCACCTGCTGGGCCACCTGCTTAACTCGGGATATCCAGGCCAGGGGGCCTCCTCCAGGAGTGAACTTACAACTCCAGACTTGCAGTTCTGTAATCGTGTCCTCACGCTGAATGACAGCCACCGATCCCCAAACCACATGCAGTGGGCTTGTGCGCATGACCTCACCAAGTGTGTGGACATTTCAAAAGGCCATTTCTATGTTCTCGTTCATGTCATTCCCCAAGCTACCTTGTATAGTGGACAAGCAAGAAAAGATATCCTAGCCTTAGTTGAGAAAAATAATGAACTGCATGAAAGGCAGCAGGAACAACCCCAGAGTTGGTATCAGCAAATGTTTGAATGGTCCCCTTGGTTGACAACTTTCCTTAGTGCCATTGCTGGGCCCCTCACTCTTCTGGACTGGGTTATGGGTCCCTGTGTTCTGAGACACTTCACCCAGTTCACCCAGCAGCGCTTAAATGCAGTTCAACTTCCTGCCCTCTGAGAGGACTGTCGCCTCCTCCCCCTAGCTGATGCTGGGGATCAGTAATTTGATCCCCTGCTAAAAGAAGTGGGGAAGGTACCAAGAGACAGACAAGGGGGACTCAGCTCTGTACTACCCTTCTGAAAGCACCGCCATTTTGAGGCCCTTGGCCCTGTTAAATTTTTTCTAATTGAATACAGATGTCCTCCCCTCGAGTAGAAATGTTCTTGTGATAACTTCAATGATTGCCTAATGCATAACTTAGCTTCTGTATCTGCTTGCGCAAACCTCCCCTTTCAGGAATGGGATGTGGTTTTTGCCTTTGTAATCCCCTTCCCCCCTGACTCTGGAACTGGAGGTATAGAGGGGTGGTGAATCCTCTTGTATCCGCTGGCTTTGAGTGAAGACTCCTTTAATTTGGCCCTGTCTGTGGTGTCTCCTCCTAACTTTGTACATCATAACGTGCATGCCCAAAATTTCAAGAGAATGGAGGAGGGGAGATTGCTGTGTGGCCATCCCCTCTGTGGGGTGGTTTCTCGCTGTTGCTCTCATGACCACATGCACCCTGGCAAGGACCTGAAGACTCATTACCTTCCAGCATGTGAACCTGTGAGTGGAAGTGTGGTTGCAGCGTGTGTCTTACTTGGTTCATTCATGCTTAGTGTTTTGTGAGCAAATTTCATGTTTTACCAAAAACAGTTAACACGTACCTAAAATAACATTTCTATTTAATGAAAAGGCTGTTGTCACCTTTAATGAGGCTGATTACTTAGTGCTGCCATCTGCTTGATGTTTTTTGTTTCCATTCACCTCCAGAATCTTGCACCGCGAACTCTAAGGCATCTGGTTCAGTGAAAGGGTCTGGTGGTCGATGCTTACATCTCGGCCTCTGTTCCTGGAGTAGCCCCTTCCTTCTCATTCCCCCTTCGTGTAAGGGCTTTCTTTGCGTGTGATTAGCTTCCACCGTCCTGGGTTACTAGGAAATGTAGCCAGGACCAAAAATGCAAAACTAGGCAGGAGTGGGAGGAGACACTGGGATCCTTTTCATGGAGAGGGGCATGGTCTGTCCCATGAGGTCAGACCTCTGTGGACCTAGGACATGGGGAGGTTGTGGCATTCTGGGAGGTGGTTGGTTTCCCAGTCTAAGCTGTTAGCTAGGCCTGTCCCTGAAGGTAAGTGGCTTTGGTTCTGATTGCAGAGTGGTCAGGGCTCCCGTGATGTCCAGCACTGGGCTCCAATTAGCCATGAGGACACAGTGCTCCCCCAGGACCTTTGACACCTGGGGGTCTGAGGGGCCCCGGTTTTGATGTCCTCAGCCTGTGGAGTATAGCTCTCCACCCTTACCAGTCTTCTCTGTTACAGGAGTATCTTCAAGCTGAGGGGCTGCCCACCACCATCCTGTCTGGTAAGAACCCTTCTTCCCACTCGCTGATCTACCCGGACCTAACATATCCCAGCCTGACCTTGGGTGGCTTCATACCAGATTTCTCTCGGACCTCGTCATGTGCCAGCCCTGGTACTCAGGATTCACACTGAAAGCCATCTCATAGCCGTGGAAACCCAGTTGGGCACAGTCTGGGTGCCCACTAGCAGGAGTGCACACCTGAGTCCTGTGCAGACGGGTGGGCTGGTCATCTTCGCCTCCCAGATGGAGGGTAGAGAAGATGAGGAAAGCACAGACTGGAAGGAAAAGGTTTGCAGCTTCAGGAAGGAATCAGAAACATAATTTTCAAGCTCAGCAGTGGAAGAGAAGAAAATGACTTTCCATGTAATCTCCCTAGACACGGCTCACGCTGAGAACAGGGTACTTTGAGCATGGTTTGGTCAGGGCCCAGTGTGCCGTTTACATGTCAGCTGATAGTAAAGAGACTTTCGTTTACATCATAGCCAGGACTTGGGGGCCAACAGGTGGGATGGTGGTTAAGGCACTGGACTCCTACATGGTCGACTGCAGTTTGAGTCCCAGACAGACAGTTTGAAAATCACTGGGTTGGGGCCGGCAAGTGGCATGGTGGTTAGTGCCATTGGACTCCCACGTGGCCAACTACGGTTTGAGCCCTGGACCTGGTGGTTTGCTTTCTCACTCTCTCACTCTGTCTCTCTCTGATCAAATAATAAAGAAATAGAGCTAAAAAAAGGAAAGGAAAGAAAGAAAATCACACAGGGTACACGCGTGTCCCCAAAATCCTGAGAGAAGGGATTGTGGGGTGGCCATCTGCTCTGGGGAGTGATTTTTTTTTCTTTTTTTTCTTTTTTTTTTTAAGAATTATTTAAGTTTATTATTTTCCAGTTTGATCAGAGAGAGAAAGCAAACCACCAGGTCCAGGACTTGAACCACCATCAGTCATGTGGAAGTCCAACACCTTTAACCACCATGCCACTTGCCAGCCCCTTTGGGGGGTGATTTCTTACTTTCCCTCTGGTGAGCATGCACCCTGTGGCAAAAACCTTAAAATTTAAAAAAAAAGGATTAGTGTTTTATTGTAAGCATTTCAAAGAAAGAAATCCTAAGACTGGTTTCTGTGCATTACTGGAAAAGAAACAAGTATTCCAGCTCTAGGAGGGTTTTCATTCTCTTTGGATGTCGGGAGCTGGGAAACTAGTGAGGCAGAATTGAACTGGGGTTCCAGGGGATGGCATCTCCTGCACAGGGCACCAAGTGTGTAGGAGATTTGCGCATGGTGTAGAAGTAAGGGTGAGGGGAGGTGCCAGGTGGGCAGACAAGTGGGGTGGGGAGCAGGGACCTCGGGAGCCTGCACAGTCCAGGGGAGCTATCCAGGCGGAGTCCACATTGTCCCTGCAGCCTGGTTAGGCACGTCTGCCTTTCCAGCCCCTGAACCATTACCCAGATGACGGGACGAAATTTATTTTTATCTATAATCAGTTGAAGTACAGACGGCCGTTGCCTCTTTGGACACCTTGTTTAGGCTGAAGCGTTTGTGGTGAAGTGGTAGCTCGCGTTCAGCTCACCCTTCCCATGTGTAAGCGTCGGGAAACGAGCTCTGGTCCAGGCGGAGGCCAGTGCCGTTTGCCAGTCTCAGAAAGTCTGTAGTTACCCCCGCCACTCCCCCCACTGAGCCTCCCATAGCACAGTAGCTAAGCTGTGTGCCCTGGCCCAGGAGGCTGGGGGAGGTAGGCCTGAGTGTGGGCAGACTGACAGGCTGAGCTGAGGGGCACAGGGCTGCCATCTCAGGGCTCTGCCAGGCTTCCTGCCAGCCAGGCATGACTTGTCTCTGCAGAGGGAGACACAGCCAGAGGAGTAGCTTGGGTCCACTGTCCACAAACCACAGCAGAACACTCAGTCTGTAGCTGGATTGGGAGGGATGGTTCAGGGGAGGCAGGGTGTGGTGCCTGGCACCCCCAGGACCAAATTACTTTAAAATCCTAACATACCCCAAAATACTGTTAAAATTGAGTGACTGTTAATGCACATTAGTACATCTCTGTGTGTGCCTACGGAGAGAGATGATTTTGTGACAGTCGTGTAGCAGTACACCTGCCTCATTTTTATTTTATTTAGCTTTTATTTAATTAGTTATTTCATTTGCCCAGAGAGGGACAGAGTGAGAAAGAAGGTGAGAAATTAAGCCACTAGGTCCAGGACTTGAACCGTGGTCTACCATGTGGGAGTTCAGCGCCCTTAACCACCACACCACCTGCTGGCCCCAACCTGCATTGTTTCAAGAAGTATCAAATTTTGCTTTGCCGAAGCTTGGGTGGCATTTGAAAAGCCTAATAAATTGAATCAACTGGAGGGGGAGAAAAACTCTCCTTGGCATTCCCCTCAGGCCTGTGCTGGGAGAGGCAGGATGAGAGTACCGGGGTCCCCGTGATGTCCAGCACTGGGCTCTGACCACCCTGAGGACATGGTGCCCCCCGGGACCTTTGACACCCAGGGGTCTGAGGGGCCCCGGCTTTGGAGAGGGCATGAACAGGGGCCATGGTTCCTCTGCACTCCACACAGCTCTGCTCTGCCTGCCACCTACAGGTAGCTCCTCCAGCGTCCAGCCCCCCACCCCACCCCCGGCCCCTCGGGAGCCTTCTGACAACAGATGTGCCCTAGGAGCTGAGCAGGCCACGAGGTCTGGAGGTGAGTGTTCTGCCTGTGTGCTGGCTGGTGCTGTGCTGTAGAGCGTGAGACGGAGTGACTTGGGGACCCCCGTGATGTCCAGCACTGGGCTCTGAACCCCCTGAGGACATGGTGCCCCCCCCGGGACCTTTGACACCGGGGGTCTGAGGGGCCCCAGCTCTGAGGAGGTGCCGGGCCGGGACTGGCCATTGCCCCTTCCCAGCATCTCCTCTCTGTCCTCACTATAGTGCCTGGGATGGTGCCCTCAGGGCCATCGCGTTTCCTGCCCAGCTCGGGCAGCTATTCTGCCTGCACCGCGCCCTGGCCGTTGTGGATTGTCATGCAGAGCCCCGACGAGCTCATGGTCACCAGCAGGGCCAGTCCCGTCTCTGAACTCCCGGGAGCTGCGTTGGCTGTCCGCCTGACCCGTGATGCCATCGAGTACCACAGTGAGGCGCTGCGGGGCAGCTGCCGTGGACCGTTTCCTCCACATCGGTGACGCGCCCTCACCCAGGGCCTACGGAGATGATGCCTGCTGCAGGGATGCCTCGGAGCTGTGGCCCTGGCTGGCCAGCCTGCTGGTCAGGGCGTGGCAAAGCTGCAGGCTTTGACAAGATCCAGGCGACTGCCAGTGGCGGTATCCGTGGTTGAGGGCATGCTGGCCCAGCCCACATGCAGGGGCTTTATAGGCTGGCTCCTTGGCCCGCACGTATCCAGGGTGGCCCGCACGTATCCAGGGTGAAAGTGGGCAAAGCCCCCTAGTGTCTCGGACTCTGTCAGAGAGGCCGTGGCAGCATCTGGTCACGGCCTCAGGTGCTGGAGTCGTCTCAGGAGAGCACCCTCCCGTAGTCTCCCCAGCATCCTATGGGCAGGCCACCCCTGATGCCAGGTTTAGGAGCCTCAAAGAGGGGTGTCTTATTCCCAGTCGTCGTCG